ACATCTTACCATTTTTCAACATGCATGTCCTCCCTCGTAAAATGATAAATAAGTGAAAGGAATGTTTAGGCATATTTATTCAGATTTCTTGAGATGTCGCATTTGGCACCAAAAAATCTATAATTTTTATTTTTAAATAGATAATACTACTGGTTCAGAGAGTAATCACACATGTTAACACTGAAAATAAACATCTTGGCAAAATGCAATTGAAATGTGAATTCTATGAAACAGGAACCAAATTTGGTATAAAGGGAAGAAGCAACTACATTTACCAAAATGGAAAAGACATAAACGACAGAGGAAATAAAGGATTCAATTCAATACCTGTTTGCATAGCCAAATAAAAAGGCCCCCAGCTAAAAGCCCAATAACAACCCAATTCCCAGCACCATGACCTTGTGCACCATGGCCTTGTCCTTCCTGTACAAGATCAAAGCTTGCAGCCAACATTACACCAGCAGCCATCCCATTGCATAATCCTGCCCATTGTGGATCAAGCTCAACAAAGAAGAATGGAACTGCACCTAAACCTGTGGCAGCAGCCATTGCCAACGTAAATAACGCAACAGTAGAGACTGAGACTTTGCTGTTTGCGCTCTTCACCTCACCCAGTCCATTATTTAAAACCTCAAAATTTATGGTATTCTCCTGACCAGTGCCATCAATAACATTACTTCTCACATTTTTGTGTGGAGCAGATCTCAGCTTTTGCGAAACTTCATTTTCAATCTCTGATGTAGCGTACGCAAAGAGAACTAGGGAGAACAGCGAAAATAATAGAGCTTTTCTAAATGTGAACTCCATTTTCACTAGTACAGATTTCACAAAATGGTCATAACTTCAGCCTTCACGATATTAAGAGATTCCGCCTGTATTCTTCTCTTGAATGCAATCAGAAATACTGGGCTCTATTGAACCATCCGATGCCACTTCTCCACGATAGCGCAGCAATTACAAAGCCACCATTCCTAGCTTGCTGTGTGCCTTGTGGTCAACCCTGCAGATTGCCAAAGGCCTCACTACACTAGTAATGCAATAACACTTCCACATTCCTCAGTCACACACTAAAAACACATTTTGATCCGAAATTTGTTGTGAAACTATAGCTCACAATTAAACAAAATAAAAATCTCCTAAAATACGTAAATTGCTGATTAGTTTAGCACTAAACAACACACAAAAGATTAACCTTCACTGATTAACATTACAAAATTCCTAATGGTCGTCGTACCCAGTGCACAAGGCTCCCGCTTTACGCAGGGTCTGGGAGAGGTGAATGTCGGCTAGCCTTACCCCCATTTATGAAGAGGCTGCTCCCAAGACAAAATTCCTAATGAAACCCGAAAATTTAAGGCCTCAGTAAAGGACGTTGGCTTTGGAGATCATCAAAGGTCAGAGATATATAGCCCACCACCTTCACAAACAATGTGATAATACAGAATCCAATCGATGATCAAACTTTAAAACTACAGAAATTACTAAAGTAAATTCAAACTATTCAAGCACCCTTAGTATCAATGCCCAAAACAATAAACAAATAACAATTAAAGGCCTTAGTTTTGATATTAAGCAATTCATCAAAGTACCCTTTTCCGAAATTTCAACAAATTCCTATCCTTTCTGACGAAATCACAGCAATCAAACAGCGCATTACCAATCAATCAGAACAAAATATAAGAACCCTACATTCAAAATTGGGAATCAGATTAAGGAAATTGAGAAATCAAAAAGCTTACCGATAGAGCAAAAGAGGCCCAGGAAGGAAGGACGGAAGGAAGAAAAGGAGCAGAGCGCGGGGGCTTGACTGAGACGTCAGTCAACCGCAATTCAGACGGCGACAGAAAAGGTTTCCCGGGAATGAACCCCTTCCGTCGAGTTTGGCTTCGAAATTAAATTAAATTATTTGATTAAATAAGTAAGGCAACGTCGAATTCGGGGATAAAGAAATAATTCGAATTCAACGTCTTGGAGTTATGGGAGTAAATTGCTGGTCCAATCCAGTTCCTCTCCGGATCTTGAACCTAGGGTTCAATTGATCGCCCGTTGAAATTTAATCAAATGGATATAATTATTATAATTTTTAATGAAACTTCTATTTATAATCGTTGGATCAAATTTTAACAGACCGGATCAATTCATCTCTGGACTTAGATCCTTAGATACGGAGAGGATCTAGAACCGTCCTCTTTGGGTGGGATTTGGATTTAATAGCACATAGAAAAAATAGTGGGACTTTATTGGAATTTTATTCAATTTTGTGGGTCACGTCAGGGGACTCAGCACGTTGGTTTTGCCCAAAACCAGGGACTCAGAACATAAACTCAAAAATGTAAATTTCTTTGACGAATGCTGGGACGACTCTTTTAAAGTGGGATTTAAGATTATGCGTAAATTATCTGTCATATTATAGTTCAATGTCAATTCTCCTTCTAATAATATAAATATTATGTAAAAAGTAAGATGATCGAGAATTTATAAAAAATCTATCTTTTAAAATAATCCTCTTAGTTTTCTCAAATTCTTTTTGCCAGAACATGTATTTATAGAGTAGTCCTTTTTGGGCTAAGTAGTAGATTTAGATTTAATTATGTTATGGGAATAGGTTTTAATTTTCTTATGCATTTAAAGTTTTGACATTCAACAAACTTACAAACTCCGTTAACTTCATCGTCTAATTAATTTGTTAACTCCTAATGTATCAATGCGAGATCCATCTCCAAATTTCTATGTGGTACAGTTAGTGGATTTGGAGGAAATTAACAAGTACACATAAATAAAACAAGTAATTGAATTTTTTTTTTTTTGCCACTTAGTACTATGGTCTAGTAATATTTTTCTTTATTTATAAGTGAGATGTCTTAGGTTCGATTCTCACTAAAAGCGAATTTGAACCACATTATTGTTAGTTCATTGTAAGGCTTAGCTCATCACATTTCCCTTAATGTAGATCATTCTCTTTTTCTTAATGTAGATAATATCGTTTGTTCAAAAAATTTAACCATCGTCAAATTAATTACTCTCTAGAAAACACAAGCAAAAAAGCCCGTGCGACGCCGCCGGTTTACAACTCTAGTTACACATAATTACAACAATGTTTCCAATTCAACTACTACATATATACAACCATACTCACAATCCTATTTACAGATATCCTAATCAGTATTTAAAACTATGTTAAATGGGAGGAGTTTTACCTCAGTACAAAACTTAATAAAATTAAAGAAATCATCATGTCATTGGTTTTCACTTTGATCCCTACTTTTATAAACTGGGCTGAATGCTAACATATGGACCGTCGATTTCCACCGCAAAGAAGGGTTTCTCCATCGTCACCACCATTGGTGTTCTCTTCCTGTTTTCCTTTGCCCAGACATTGAAAAATCCAATTTTAAAGCTATTTTCTCACACTAAATAGCAAAAAAATAAATTTAAAAATTAGAGAAAAACAAAGAAAAGCGTCTAAAACTTATATTCGGAAACGCAGATGAGAACTCACCATAAAATACCGAACTTTACCCAAGAAAACTCTAAAAAAAAAAAAAAATAATAGAGACTGAGCATGTTAATTTTATTTTAAAGGATTCATAATTGACCTAATTCTTCTGATTAGCAGTCACTAATTACAAATAGATTTGTAGATGTGGGACTAAATTAGTTCGGGATTGGACTGCAATTCACACAATTACCTATATTTTTCCCAATTGTTATAATTTCCCAAAAAAATTCGTAGGAAAAAAAACAGACTTGAATCAAACCCACCTCCCAGCTTGAGTGAAACGACGCCGTCTTCAATGGAGACAACATCGACGTTACCGCCATCGGTGATGAGATAGGGGCGGACGTCCTCTAGAACCAAGTCGACGTTGGGAACTGTGAGTTCGTACTGCTTGGTGGAGTAGAGTCCCGGAGAAGAAGACTTGGCAGCAGCGCTCGGGTTTGAAGTTCTAATGGCGGTTTGAGAAAGATCGGCCTTTGAGAGGTGAGACGGCGCGAATTCCAATACCCAAAACGTAGCCGATTGGTATTTGAAATCGAGTTTTTGGTTTGAGGGTTTGGATTAGGTGTGAGAGATTGCGAAATTGAATTGGTTGGTTTGAAGGTTTCAGGGGGTTCTTGCGATGGGAGGCAGATTGTCTGCCTCCGATCTGCCTCCCAATATCATATCCTTCCCATCTCCTTCTACTTGCGATGCGATGGGAGGCAGCAGATGACAGCGCACTATCGTATAAAAGAAACAAATATGTCTTGGCTTCTTAGACATTTCATTGTGCAAGAAAGAAAAAGACAGAACAATCTAAACAGAAAAACGGGGGCAATGCCGTCTTTACACTGTTCCTATGAACAATATTTTTGGGTGCAGGACTTTAGTATATATAATTTAAAATTAGTTATAAATATGTAAAAGTTAGAGAGATAACCTTTCCTAGTGATAGGAGTGAGGCAGGTATAAAATATCACACGGTAACTATAACACAAAGAGATGACAAGTAAAAGTGAGAGGAATCAATACTGATGTTATTGACCTTTTCTTTCTTCTCTGTATATATTGATAGCAGTCGGAACATTCTATTTATAGAACAACTTTATACGAACAGATTCTTACATTTTGAAATTTACAATACATAACTTTGAAAATACGATTATTTTGTTTCCAAAGTCTACATCACATTTGTGGGCATTGAAAAATATGTGTGGGCATTCATTAAATTGCCAACGATTTCAACATTGCCAATGTTTTCAATTGCCAATGTTTTCAACTGCCAATGTTTTCAAGGGGGAGTGTTGTAAATATTGGTGGCTGACCACTAAATGATGTAATGGATGACTATATCAACCACTTTAGAGCACTGTAGCTTAGCTGGCAGCAAGGCAACAAGCACTATCATATGTGCCTATAAAAAGGAATGTTGAGGATGAGAGCAATATATAGCAGCCACAAGGCTCACGAGAGAGAGAGGTCAGAAGAGGAAGGAAGAAAAGAGAGGAGAGATGAGAGATAGAGAATAGAAAGAGTTATTTTTGTACTCTTATTATTTCACATTATAATGAAAGCTCTACTACTGCCGCGAGGATGTACTCCAGTTACACTGACTGTAGAGGAACCTCGTAAATTTTGTGTCTTATTTTGAGCGAGGCAGGTGTAAAATATCACACTGTAACTATAATACAAGGAGATGACAAGTAAAAGAGGGAGGAATAGATACTAATGTTATTGATATTTCCTTTCTTCTCTGTATGTATTGATAGCAGTCGGAGTGCTCTATTTATAAAGCAACTTCATACGAGCAGATTCTTACATTTTGAAATCTACAATACATAACTTTGAAAATACGATCCTTTTGTTTACATTGTTGAAAACATTGGCAATGTTGAAATCGTTGGCAGTTTAATGAATGCCCACACAGATTTTTCAATGCCCACAAATGTGATGTAGACTTTGAAAACAAAAGGATCGTATTTTCAAAGTTATGTATTGTAAATTTCAAATGTAAGAATATGTACATATGGAGTTGCTCTATAAATAGAGCGCTCCGACTGCTATCAATACATATAGAGAAGAAAGGAAAGATCAATAACATCAGTATATATTCCTCCCACTTTTACTTGTCATCTCCTTGTGTTATAGTTACAGTATGATATTTTACATCTGCCTCGCTCGTGTCACTAATAAATGTTATCTCTCTAACTTTTACATATTTATAACAAAATTTCAATTCTTTTTCTTCATCAATTCAATGGAGCACCTGGACCCGTTCCCCCAATGAAAGACACTCCTGAAACCGGGAAGTAGCTTCGAAATTCAGCGGCTTGTCGGGCGGTATGCTGTTCCCACAGATCTGTAACTCAGTTTCTTATACTTTCAGATTGTTAGTAGTACAAAAACAAGGGCAAGAGTGCACTTTTTGCCTATAGCTATATTTGTCTTGGTAAACACTGGCGTGCAAAACAAGCAGAGAAATGACCATTCTTCTGTTACTACAACAAGATCTCGGATCCTAACTTATGTACACTACCACAAGACCATGTTGCTTTTGTTTCTACGTCCCGATAAACAGAGACAAGGAAACACCGGAAACTCGTGTTTTGTTGTCGTCGTCGGAGAAGGAGCTTTATTCAAAACGAAAGAAGCACGATACGATCAAACATATATGAGACTCTCGAGGCTCTACTTCTCTGCGTACCACCAATATGTGCAGCGTCACTTGACCAGCGTGCGAGGGGAATTTTTCTTCATCGAGGCACTATGTTTGGGACAGTACCACTGGTTAGATCACTTCCTGCCAGGCTGGAGGACACGTAGGATCGGTCTCCAGTCAATAAGGACGATGAGGTTGGTGATTGGTCACTGTACGAGGAAGTAGGTGGTGAAAATATGGTGTCAGTTGCCGGCGTGATTTTGAGTATGTTTTCGAGCTCCCTCACCACTTCCAGCATATGAGGCCGCTTGTCTTGCTTTTCATTACAACATCTGAGGGCCAAATCTAGAAGCCTTTCAACGCATTCAGATGGATAGGAACCCATTCTGCTGTCTATGATCGAGAACACCAGCCCTGCCTGATGAGCCAGATTCACCTGAAAAAAAATGAATATAATTTCATGATTATTAGCATCAGCTAAGATATTAGTGCTCGGTGTGCTGAGACATAATCTGTATCAGCACGCCGAACACTAGCGTTTGTGTTTGAAATTTATACAAGCAGAGGCATTTTGTTACATCAGACAAAATCTTAGCAACAGAAATCCTAAAGAAGTGATGTTTCAATGGTACCTCTCGAACTATGTTTTTGCCGTGTGAAATTGGCTGATTGCCCGTAAGGAGCTCCAGAAACACGATTCCTAGGCTATAGACATCGCTTTTGTCTGTCAACTTATTGGTCAGGAAATACTCTGGATCAAGGTAACCCTGCAATGTATGATTAAAAAAGAAAAGAAAAGAGTTATTCATAATTCTACAGTTAGCTCATTAGCTTTGCATGATTTTAACATACCGGCGTTCCTCTCACAATTGTAGATACATAAGCAGGCCCGATCCCTGCATCATCCTGCAGAGGTGCAAGTCGCGAGAGTCCAAAATCCCCACGGGATCTAGGTCTATGAACGAGAACGAGTTCCGAGACTGCATCCAAATAGATAGTCAGAGTTTGCGGCGTTTGATAATTCGCCTGTCCAAAGCTCAATGCTAAGAGTCCTAGAGAGATCAGCTTCTCAGCAGGTTATCGATAGCACATACCCCAAATAGGATAGCCATTAACCAAAAACACTAATTGCACATAAGCGACTGAACCTTTATTAGTTGATATATTCCAAAGCATAAAATCGACCTTTGGCTAGTGAAGACTTATTGACAAACTAAAATCAATATAGACAGTTATATACGAGAACATGTTTAAGAAAGACTGAGAAGTTAATCACCTATCACCACCAAAACAGAATACTGACAACCACAAAACCCTTGAATGAGGTCGCAGAGTGACATTTGCGACAGGGATACACCTGCATTGTGTCCTCTAACCTCTTAATGAATCAGCGTACACATCCAAATAGTATCTGCCGTCCTATTGTACGACTTCTCTCATCAATCTCACTCGAAAATGAAGCCAGAGCGACAAACTAGACAAGTAGCTACACTCAAATACAAACATTCATATAAAAAAGAGCTGAACTATTGACAACTGTCAGAGCGATAGAACTATATGAACAAAATCGACCTATCTAGAAATTTGATCAATGATTCTGCAACTCATGGCAACGCGTAGGAACGAATGACCGCTAGCAATCATCCATTGCAAGCTTCATCACAACCATACCACAAACCAAAACATACAAGCCTACGGATTCATTCTAAACACGCCGTAATGAAGCCTTAACCCTAAAGCAGTTCTTCTCAATGTCAACAATCTCCCATATATCTAACTCGCACACTACAATGTAAGATTGATCCTTCATAGTAACATGCTCAACGCTTTTCTTTGGTCAACTACAGCTGTAAGCTAACACCATAGAAATAACAAAAAATCCCAACTATGTAACACAGTATTAACCATAAAAGACCTCCTTATCCAACGGAAAGTCGCGGCATACGATATATGCAACGCTCCCCAAGCAATTTATCAGCTTACTGATACAACAAGAATTCTACTTGGATAAAACTGTTTCACTGCGGCATTTTTACCAACATTACAAAACTCTCTAAATAGACATCTTTTAAGCCTGCCAATGAGGGCTGGATTTATGGAAATCTTTGAATACATTTCTACTAGACCTTATGGAGTGATTGAGAAGTACAGAACCGCTGAAAGAGATAACCACCAATCCGAATAACCGTAGTTACCAAATCATCGCTAGTCTAATCAAAGTAACTTAACTTAAGAGATACATATACACAGGAATAGGTAATTGTCTCCGTCTGAATGATAAATATTTGTCGGTTCATGATAACCCCTTATCATGAATTCCAACCATGAATATGGCGTTGGGATCTTCACAGTTGTTGGAGTAAGTTGGTGTTTCTTAGTTTAATTTTAGTCCATAGTTGATGAAAGGGGATCAAAGAAGATATGAACATCTGCTTTGTCTTTAGGCTGGTGGTTTAACCGAATTATGAGCCACCATTTCGTCTACTATTGTAGCGACGTGCATTTAGAGCGATCAGAATCGTCATCTGACAATTTTAGCATAACACGACACCAGATTAGCCTAAGACATTTCGAACCTTTTATTTAACATTCTTTTCGTGCTAGATGCTCCACATATCCTATTGCTATAGTGCCACATCAGACGCATGTCTTTTTGCTGCTTTAGCTAAGTCAGAGACGTCATCGCAAATCACGAGACATTACACCGAACGATTTGAATTAAAATTATGTATACTCAACCAAGATAGAACATTCACTACTTTGATATTAAAGTTCTTTTATGTCATGAGTGGTTCAGTAAACTCTATTATTAAAAGTGGCATATAAGTAGTCAGCTTTATGGGGTTGGATATTTCAAGATTAAGCCCTATTTCAAGCATGTTTATAAACAAAGCTATAAGGTGAAGCATTACTAACAAGACGCAAATCCTAACATTGCCAGGTTAATAGGGGGACTAAAAAAACTGCAGCTAAAATCATACATCGTAAACACTAACAGATAATGATCTTTTTGAGAAAGACACTCTCATAAAAGACTTTATTATTACTTTTCAAAAAATCTTGAAGGTTAATTAAAAACACATATTGTGGTGGCCTCAAAATTCTGTATATTTAAAGGATATACCCATTTGTTACTACAGAGCAAACTTCGAGACTATTATAGATTAATAATACACTTCAACACGATATTTAAAATGCCACAACAAAACATTTAAGACGAGAAGATTAGAATACCTTATTTGCCGCTAAAGTATGAGCCCAAGTTGGAGACCACTACTTCCACTATCTTAGATACCGCGTAGTATCAGCACTTTTATAGACTGAAAATTAAATTTTTCAGTCTCTCTGCAGGCTTCTATAAGAATATCAATTAATATGTGGACAGTTTAGAAAGCATTATTCACACAACACAATCCATTTGCCTATCAAGTAAACGAAGTTCTATTCTTTCCTTCCTTAACTCAGCCCTAGACTAACGTAAAAGTTCAACCCAATTTTGCTAATTGATAATATATAAGTACGTGGCGACGTGACTTCTTCCCGAAGGGACAGCGACGTATAAAGAAGCGTGACTTAATTATTTCTTCACTTGAATTTTCTATAGTTTATTAATCACAGATTAAGTAAATACTTATTAACGTTTAAAATTATGGACAAAACTAGGATCTCCTTCATCAGTGGAACTGATTTTAATTTTAGCCCGATCTACCTCTAGAACATAGAGTGAGTACATTGCATAAATTCCTCTCCATGGTAACCTCTAATTTGTCAGACGGCACATCAATCCTTCTTACCATCCATAAAAACAAAAATGAACCTTGGATAATTACCCCAAGTGTAAACACTATCTGAAAGAGAGCAAGATAATGATATAGTAAAACAGATAGGGATTAAAATTACATTTTACAATTAGAAATTAAAGTTCAGAAAGATTGGTCAATTATAAAAGCTTTGAGAGTAATCAGGGATAATTGACGCAGTTTAAAAAAGTTTATTAGAGAAAATACATTGTCTAAAGTATAACAGGTCTAATAGTTCGCAACCATTAACGCTTCTAACTCGTTCTAAAGCTATGAGAAGGAAATTGACAACACTCATTTCGTTTTAATAGACGTTCAATCTCCACATTCCAGCAGATGGATCCGATCACAATGTCCCGAGAACAAGACTCTGGTATCAGGTCCTTATGACCACGATGTATTCAGTCTAATCGACGAATGATCTAAACCACATGCATGAACAGGTGGGATGTAACGTTATTTGATCACAAATAAATTAAATACATTGTTAAAATAACAAAACCTCCACAAAGAAACAGAATGTTTTCTCAGTATTGACCAGGTCTTGCAAACGCGGATGATAGCATCTACTGGTCATTTATAACACCAATAGTATGTCCTGTGATGTAATGGAAATAATGTTTCTACTAAAACGTCTATACACAACTGTAAAAAATATTATCTTTATCACCAAAGCATACTATTAAAAATCAAATACCACTGAGAAATAGTACACATCTCCGATGCTTAATCCCTCGATAATGCAAAAAACTCCACACAATCAAGAAAAATCAATAACAGATAGTGGATGGGACGGATTCTCACGTTCTCCATCCAATTGACAACAAGCATACACCGTCCAACAGAAATGCATTAGTCGTTGAGAAAACTTTCTCATGCTGTCGATCCATTATTTATCAAGTGCCGCATCACAAAACCCATTGAAGAGCTGCCACATTAGATATATACGCGTTCCAAAAACCAATCCCGCCGTGACTATGAGCCACCCTATATGCTCGCACTATCCCTGTCTAATTAGATCCATTTAGTCTCGATAAATATCCCTTAATCTCCATCGGCTTTCACTCTTAGAATACTTGATGATAATCCCTATACCCGACTACGGGTCAATTGACTACCCACCTCTCGAGCGAATGAATTCGTCACACTATGTTCTTGGTCCACGGTGACTAGCTCTATTCTTAATTTACTTTCGGTCTATTTTGTGCACTACACTTTGCGGAAAATGATTGTGATGCAGATTGAATGAAAGACTCATAAACTCCTTGAAGGTAATGTATGTATTAGGTGGTATGTGATATGCACATTTATGTGATTGAGGAGATCGGAAGGGATCAAACATGAAGGAAAATTCTCACTCTCGACCCCTACAAAAGTGAATTGGATTGGCTACCTCATAACGTTGAAGGTATGTTGCATGCAAAAGGTCAATGCATTTTTTGTTTTGAGGAGAGATTTTTCAGTGTGACCAGAACACAGGTGGTACACCAAGTGTCATTATACAAATTGTGGAATATGTGTATTAAAAAGTTAATAGCTTAAAAAAATAAAATTTCTCATCACTTATATAAAAACACGTGATGTACCACTCGTGTTCCGGTTATAATGAAAATTTTCTCGGGTTTTGAGGAAACATGCCCCTTTCACAATCCTGTATAAAATCAGAATTGGATGCATACCCTGCCCACCTAACATTCCAACTGTGATCGCTTTAACCGCAGCACTGCGCGCAACATCGCAGTTTTCATTTGCAACAGATCTCACACAGCGACTCCAGACACCAGGCATTGTACAAAAATAAGCACTGAATCTACTATTACTTCTAAGGCTAAGCTAAATACCACACTTTTTTGTTAATGGGATCTTACGACTTACTGCAGACAGTATCCTAGTTAACTAGAGCACAATACAACTCTTTCGGTATCTCGAGCATTGACGAAACAGATTGCTTTCATACATTATCTCTCGCGTACACCCTTAATGAAAAATACAAAATTATACAGTCATTTGTTAATCATGATAAGTCCACCAAACTATCCCTAACAGACATCAATCTACACACATCTAGTAACAGATTTAATCACACATTAATTTCCCAAGAGTTTAAGTTGTTAATCACCTTGCTTTCGATATTTAGCCATACGCGTACCCACAAATTTAACTGAGAAATATTCGAATTAGTCATTGTGTAAGTAAAATAATTAAAACCTATAAGTATGTTATGATTATAACTTGAGAGTATATCACATACAGTTACAAAGTGAAACAAATAAGTGAAATATGAGTAGAGGAATAGAGTTCTGGGAAAGAAGAGTACGAGTATGAATGGTTCTATGGTTCTAGAGCGTAAGCAAATGTATCATCTAATGCTACGGCTATAAAGGAGTATAATGCAATTACCCCGTCACTTACCACACCCCCGCCTTTCGACTTAAACACCCTACTCAAATTCTTTTTATCACCTCGGCGATTTCTTTTAATCATTTACTAAAATGCTAGGTCCTACGAAAATTCTAAAAAAACTAAATGATGACTTTACGGGCATTAACACAGACTCACTAAAACCCTAGCTTAAACACACTAACACAGCTTTACAGCTGTTAGGTTTAAAAGAATTCAATAATATTCAATACTCCCCTCAAGCTGGATCGAGAGATTTTCTGGATCCAAGCTTGAAGAGAATACGATCAAGTTGAGAAGAAGGAAGGGGCTTGGTGAACACATCGCTAGTTGATCACTGGAGCGAACAAATGCAGTTTGTAACAGCTTGGACTTGGTTGCGGACGAAATGACAGTCAACCTCGATATGCTTTGTTCGTTCATGAAAGACGGGGTTGGCAGCAATATGCATCGCTGCTTGATTATCACAGTGGAGGAGAATTGGCTTGGAAGAGATGATGTCAAGATCATGCAGCAAACTCTTTAGCCAAATTAGTTCGCATGCAGTAGATGCCATTGCACGGTACTCAGCTTTCTGCGCTGGACCGAGCTACAACAGATTGCTTTTTGCTCTTCCACGTGACGAGGTTACCACCTACAAGAGTGCAGTAACCAGTTGTGGACTTGCGATCAAGGCGTTGCCTGCCCAATCAGTCTGTGTATCCTTCAATGGTGAAGTGTCCGTTTTGCATGAAAATCCCGGTAGACATTGAGCCTTTTAAGTATCGAAGGATCCTTTTAACAAGTTGCAAATGATGAGATGTGGGAGAATGCATGAACTGGCTGACAAAGCTAACAGCATAAGCAATTCAGGTCGAGTTATAGTCAAATAGATAAGTTTTCCTACCAACCTTTGATACTCCGATGCATTTTCAAGCTGGATGCCTGAGGTTTCATGTTTAAATTTGTTGGTAGAGGTTTTTAGCAGGTTTGCTGTGCATCATATTGGCTTCTTCTAAAATCGAGAACGTACTTTTGTTGATTTAGAAACAACCCCGTTGGAGATTGATCCATTTCGATTCCGAGAAAGTATCTAAGTCTGCCGAGATCTTTGATTGAGAATGTTGAATGTAAGTGGCTTTGAGAGCATTGATTCTTCTGGATTATCTCCTGTGACAATGAGATCATCAACATAAACAAGTACCACCAATCTTCCATGTGTGCCAAGCCTAGTGAACATTGAAGAATCTGCATTGCTTCGTTTAAAACCGGATGACATAAGGACAGAGCTTTTTTGAGTACCAAGCCCTTGGAGATTGCTTGAGACCGTAAATGGCCTTGTGAAGCTTGCATACTACTCCTTGTTCCTTCTCTCGTTCATGACCAGGTGGTAGGCGCATGTACACTTCTTCTTCCAACTCTCCATGAAGAAAAGCGTTTTTTACATCCATTTGATGTAGAGACCATTGTGAATTGATAGCCACCGAAAGAAGAACTCTAACTGTGTTCATCTTTGCCACCGGGCAAAGGTTTCTTTGTAATCTACCCCGTAGGTTTGCGTGAAGCCCCTTGCAACTAACCTTGCCTTGTGCCGCTGGATGGTTCCATCTGAGTTAAATTTTGTCTTGTAAATCCATCTTGCCCCAACCACACGTTATCTTTTGGCAGAGAAACAATGCTCCAAGTTTTAGTTTCTTCGAGTGCCTTCAGTTCCTCAAGCGCATAGCACATCTCCATATAGGAGATTGGTTTGCCTCTTCCGAAGAGATCGAGCTACCGAGTGTTGTAGAAAAAGACTACTCATGTGGACGACAATACTTAGCATGCGTAGTGAAGATCAGGGGAACGTCTTGCTATGGCATGATATCCCATGCATTGTCATCCCAAATAGTATATCTTCATACAGGGGGCATGTAAGAATTTCTGTAAATACATCTAAGCACTAAGTATGCTAGTTTTCTAACTTCAAAGTAGTCATGTCAAGTATGAAACACACACAAGAGCCGACCTCACTTATATTGTGGAAGATATAGACTTTTACATCGGATTAAGATGATTATCCTACCGTTGTGCTGCCAAAAAGCCGAAGATTAGCCATTACCACCCATCAGCCTTATCGCCTGAGCGGGATCTTTACTTTCATTTTGATATTTGCTATGTCGAATATCTCCGATGCATGAGCCTGGCGTCTTTATGGCATCCTTAAGGGTTCTTTCATTACATGACATGTTAGTCTTGTCTGACAGAATTCTTGGCTATACTATCTTTAAATCTAAAAAAAGACGAGGACGAAGTATGAAGACCATCTTTTCATGTATATGGATGAGTAACCACCTTTCAGAAGCGCCTTCTAGCTATATTCTAGTTCATTCTTTCACTGAGAATGAGGAGAAGGTGCCTTTTAATAAATCATGCAAAAACACCAGAGTACACGATTCCCACACCATCGCCAGATCATCAAAGCAACACTATATTCCTTGGGTTTATGTTTACATCATAGCATTCTGTTTTCCCTCACTATTAGAAGTGTACCAGATATCGACAGAGCCTCGATATGACCACTTACAGTACTACTCCTTTGTGATCATCTTAAAAAGTACTACTTTTCAGAGTAAGAAATAGTGTTTGAATCACATGACACACCATACGCTACAAGCTGCTATTCACAACCGATTCCATATTACATCATCGAGAGCACAAACAGAAGCATAATATTTTTTACTTTAACAGAGACTACTCCCCCTTGAGAAATTGACAAGCAATACCAAACCAGCCTTAGTTTGCGTTGGGGTTGCATAGTCTCAAAATTAAGGCCCTATTCAAGACTGTTTTTTGAAACAGCTAAAGGTGGCTTACAACAACCAAAAATACTTATGGTTATGTTGAACATAAAAACTTAAAATACTCGTAAACACTAACAGATGATTTTTTAGAAAGCACTTTCAAATACTTTTTTTTCTTCATAATTACTTGAATTTTTAATAAAATTTTGGTGGCCTCAAAATTGTTTTAAATACCCATTTGTACTAACAACTCTGGCTATAAGTTTATAACTCAAAAGATTTTAATGCACAAAAATATAAACAGAAGATTAGAATACATTGGCAAGGTGCATGCCTCAATTTGGAGGAACTACTTCCATGTATCTTATACGGTGGTTATTTCAACCCAATCATGGGTTATGCCGTGAGATACAATTATGGTGTTGCTTTGAGTATAGTGAAATTTCTCTCATCAGTCCTTAAAATTTCATTAAATGCAATTGAAAATTACAACACTGAATCTTCTATTTGCCATTGCAGAAGTAGTGTAGTGTTATCTAATTTCTTTTCCTTCAGATCACCGACATCATCGATAGTTTGCTCATTTTTTGCCATTTTAATTGTAAACTATCATATAGGTACTGCGCGGTTATCTCATAGCTCCAGGGTGACCGGACGCTTCCTTCTGCTTATAGTGAGAATCGCAATCATTGTAGTCTATCCTGAATCTTTAACAATTAACATCACCATAGTTTACTAGCCATTCTCCTGAACTTTCTCACAACTAGTAAGAATTTTGCTCCATTTTGATCCACGTAATGAACATTTAGTAAATGCTTTACCTCGAATTCAGTAACCTCCAAGATTAGACCTCTTATAATAATAATTGATCTAAGAATTTCCTCTCGTTAACCTTTAATTTTCTCTTCATGAACCCATAAATTAGCCAAATAAACATTTTATCTAAAGTGCTAATATGCAACACAAAAGAAAAGCTCGATCATAGCTATGAAAACTTACATTTATATTGTCAAATTATATACAACCAATAATAAAGTTTGGGAAAGGATTGAATCTAATTATGAAGATATAGAGGAGTACAATCCAAGGAAATGAGATGATAACGCAATTAGGAAAAATCTAAGAGTCGATAATTGTCAGTAAACATCTGATTATAGAGGTAGGAAGGTATCTCTCCATGTCAGAATTCAAAATTGTTAACACACATACTATAGTTCAGAAGAGAAATTCAACTTTGACGATTCTCTTAGAAGAATGAAGTAATGAGTCACAATTTAAGCATTGTAGGTAACGTATTTCCGTATTGCTTTTGCGTACCCTAGAAGGTTCATATTACTAATATAGCGTCAACTTAATATTACCAAAATACTCATAATGACAGAAAACTGTAGCAGAAAATAAAATAAGAGAATCTACGTAAATCCTCTGAGTAGAATGGCGCGATTCCTGCAGGTTAATCCGCACATGTCTGCTCCTTGTTACCTGATAGCTGATATCGTACGGTCAGAAATTGATTTTAATGGATTACGTGTGTTAATACCTTTTGTTAAACTGAAAGAGAATAATTATAACACAAACACAGGATCCATAGAAGAAAAGGAACCTCGCATCTAACCAATGACTATC